TGGGGATGGGGGGGACGGGAGGTAGCGGTGGGGGGCGAGGGGAGGACGGGGCGGGCAGGCCCGCTCACCAGCTTCATGCCCAGGCAGTTTTTCTCCCGGCTGTTGTAGCTGGCAATCTTCTGCTTGATCTCCTGCAGCGTGGGCGGGCGCCTCGTCTCCTCTGCGGGTTTACAGACATTCTGGAACAGATGCAGAAGTGCAGGTGGGTGGACAATGGCTCTCAGGGTGCCAAGGGGAATGAACATGCCCTCCCAGGGGCCTCTGACCCAGACGTGAGCAGCAGCCCCACACTTGACGACGAATTGCAGGATGAATCTATTTGCCAGACCTGGAGCAGTGATTGTCTGCTGCTAAGACTTCCACTGCAGATGCAAGAAAAAAGGGTCCTCGCCAAGACTGAATGGGGAAAAAGCATGGAGAGATTCTTTTGCAACTCAGAAATAACCTTGTAAGCAGTGAAGAGTCTGTTTACTCCAAAGAAGAATCTGAAATACGAGTTTCTAAGAGAAGTGTTGGAAAATTATTCCCCTATACCCTTGCTCTCTGATTAATTCTGCTTTTAAAAGCTTAAGGGTTACAACTAATTAAAGGCAAGCCAGTGGGGTCTTTTTAAAAAAATGAATTGCATGGACTCAGGGCCGGCCACCCCTGGGGAAGTAACTTCAATCTCTCTAAGCCTCAGTCTCCTCACCTGTAAATTGGGAGCAATACCTGTCCCTCAAGCTTGTTGTGAGGTCAGTGTGAAAGTGCCCAGTACACAGACACTGACTATGAACTTGGCGAATCAGCAGAGCTGCAGTTGCTGACAGAGGGTTGCTAGGGAAGAGATGCTTTCAGATGCTTCTGGCAGATGCAAAGAAATGCAAGCCATGGTCCGCCTTTTTAGGGAAGTAACAACAGAGCGCTGAAGACACAGGAATGTACACATAGCACCAGCATGTACCGATGGGAACAAGAGTAATTCTCCCAGACTCAGAGGACCAAGGGCACAGGGACATCAGTTCAGGCCCCATGTCACAATAAGAAGTAAATAGTGGGCCGGCCGAATGGCGCGATGGTTAAGAACTGGCTTGGGACGCCAGAGGGCCCCGGTTCGGATCCCACATATGAGGGCCAGTGACACTGCCCTACACCTAGACTGAAGAACAAAAGGATAGCAACTTGTCTGTTCCTCTTCCCCCAATTCCCCAATAAAAATCTTTAAAAAAAAAAAAAGAAGTAAATAGTCTATATTTGTCAAATGAATGAGTGAAGTGGTGCGGGCGGTGGGCTGTCGCCCTCTATGATAATTGAGGTGATAAACCTCCTTTACTGGGGCAGAAGGACAATCAGTGTTTACTTAGCACCCCCGCTGTGCAGGCCCTTGGCATACATTATCTCATTTAATCCTCACAAACCAAAACTCAGTGGAATAGAGTTTATGAACCCATTTTCCAGGTGAAACAAGTGAAACTAAAAGTTGAGTATCTTGCCTAAGGCCCACAGTCAGCGTGTGCAGAACTAAAGGGAAATTCCAGGTGTGTTCTGTTGTGCTCTTCCTATGACATCACGATTTATTCTTTTCAGTGCTTCCCCGGGTGCCCAGGGAAGGGAAGGGAAGCACAGAGCTGAGCGGATGGAGGTTAATGTCCTTCACACTGTGGAGGGAGTTCACGGGTCCATTCTGGGGTCCAAGCAACTCTGTCTCATGGTCAATTCCCTGGATTTCTCTCNTAGAACTACCTGCAGCCCAGTACCCGGTAATTCCACTTGTGGGTATTTACCTGAAGAAACCCAAAACACTAATTTGAAATGATATATGCACCCCTGTGCTCAATGCAGCGTTATTTACCATAGTGAAGATATGGAAGCCATCTTCAGTGCCCATCAATGAAAGATTAGATAAAGAAGATGTGGTGCATATATACAATGGAATATTACTTGGCCATAAAAAAAGAATAAAGTCTTACCATTTGTGACAACATGGATGGATCTAGAGGTGAAATAAGTCAGACAGAGAAAAAGAAATGCCATAATATTTCACTTATATGTGAAATCTCAAGAACAAAATAAATGAACAAACAAAACAGAAAGATTCATAGATACAGAGAACAAATGGATGGTTGCCAGATGGGAGGGGGTAGGAGGATGTATGAAAATGTGAAGGGGAATAAGAGGTACAAGTTTCCAGTTACCAAATAAAAAAGCCACAGGGATGTAATGTACAGCATGTCAATAATATTGTAAAAACTTTTGTACAGTGACAGGCAGTACTAGACTTATTGGGGTTATCACTCCACAAGGTATACATCTAAATGTTGAATAACTATGTAGTACACCTGAAACTAATATAATGTGTGTTAACTATATTTGAATAACCACAAAAAAGAATAAACAGGAAGCGGAAAAAAAAAAGAAATAGGAGAATCCTTGCTTACCTCAGTAGCCTGTCCTGGTGTTTAAGCATGCTTAACTCCCCAAAGCCCTCCTCTTTTCTAACTCAGTTATCTCTTCCTGTAATAGGCCCTCTTCCCCTCCTGCTCTGTGCGGATGTAGAGAAGAAGCCAGTCATCTAGGCAGCACCCTCCAGCCCGTGCGCTTGTACCGATTTCTCAAGATTATTTGAACAGTAGCCTTCACGCCTCTCTTTGCTGGCAAAGGAAAATCTGACGGCCAAGAAGGGTGTTTTCTTCTGGGTTCCCACCCTGTCTCCCAGCCCCCAACGTCCACGAGAGGGGGAAGTTCAAGGAAGAGGTTACCAGTCTGAATCATTTTTGCAACAAGCTTTTATTACTTTTTTTTTTTAAACCCATATAAGAAAGACATGTAAAGAGAAAATATCCTCAAGTGAACACTTACACACTGGATGACACGACGATAGAAGGCACTGCCAGCAGTCACACCCGCCTCTGGGAGGGAACTTGATCCACACTGTTTTCGGAGGCATGGACCTCAGCCTAGGTCCTGGGTCTAACTGTGCTTTAGATACAGTCTGAATTTTCTCATAATTTTCTTATTTCATAAACACCTCATCTCTTTATATATAGCTATCTGCCTTAATGGTATATATGTACATGACTTTTCTTTTTCCTTCTCAAAAATAAAATAGCCACCCCCGTCAGAGGGAGGTTCTCAGCAGCATTCACAGCGGTCGCAGCGGGAGCCGTGCCTTCTATTCATGTAAAGGACATGCAGCATGAAGGATCAAGGACTCTCCACCCACTCCCTTTAATATACAGCAGGGCAAGAGAGTCTTTAAGGGAGGGAAGTGATAAAGGCTGAGCATGAGATGGCTGGCCACTAGAGTTTTTGTGGTTCAAAAATCCTTTCAAGCTGCTAGCCTGTCTTGCTTTTGCAGCTCTGGAGACTAGCACAGTTTCTATGACAGGGGTCAGCATTCCTTCTGGGATCGGGGGCAGTGTGGACTCAGCAAGGGCCAGCGAGGGAACTTCTGAGGTTACACAAGGAAGCTTGGGCTGGAACCAACCCAAAGGGGACTTGGGAAGGCAGAGGACATCGAGGAAATGTTCTCTCAGAGGTGGGTTGGAAACCGGTCCTGCTTTGAAAGCGACAAGTCCTCCCTCTGCACTGGAGTGTCTTTGCAGTCCTGGCTACTTGCTTGAGTTGTTTGGCTCGTTTACGTTTTAAGCTTGGACCTAAACAAGGATCTAGTACAAATGTAGAGTTGGGAATGTGATCCGCCCTGTCAATGTGGTTTGACATCATTTCTAGGCATCAAAGCCCAGGACCGTCATAGGAAGAAGGGCTGTGACCTCGCCCCATACTTGGAGGGAGGGCTCTCCTGGCCTTGTCTCCCATACTGCCATGGTCCCCTTGCTGGCAGAAGCAAACCAGCAGCAGAGCTTTAAGCAAATGCGCCCTGCTCCTGTCTCTCTGAAAACAAAAAGGCACTGAGGTCAGCGGGGAGGCCAGCCCCATGCTCGCTGAGTGCAGTGCCCCAGGCTGGCCTGTGCTGCGGAACACAAAGGACTCCACGTTGACTGAGTTGGATGTTCCCCCCTCTGTAATCAAGGCAGCTCCTCTGGCAGCACCTGGAGATTCCATAGTCCCCGTGGGAGGAGGCAGTGCTGGAGGCCCAGGGGAAACTGAGGCAGCCAGGTCCTCCCCTGCTCTCTAGCTGGGGGAAGGCTGAAGACCACTTAGACACATTTCTCTGCAATACTTTTTGGCTTTCTCTGACTGCCTGATTTCCGTGCTCAGCAGGAGACTTCTTAAACGGTAAAGAGCTAGTTTCCCCTTAGTGGAAACATGAGGAAAATGGCAATATTAAATTCAAAATTGTAACTTAAAAACAAACAGTTGGTGACAAAGATGTGGCTCAGCACCACACATACACAGATGTAGACGCCTTTGGGTTCACATGTGCACACGTGGGAGATCAGAGCAGGGTCAGGGCAGGCTGCAGCTTCTCTGGAAATCTCTGAGCTAACCTCAGCTCTGGTGCTCCTGGCTTAGGCATCCGGGGCCAGTAGGGGACAATCCGTTTATGAGCACGATCCGGCTCTCAGGGGCTTAGCTGAGACCTGCTAAAGGAATACGCTCTAACTTTTGACTCATAAATAAAGGTACTGCGGGTGGCAAATAAGAGGGAAATTGAAGAATAAAAGCCTCTTTTTTCTTTCTTTGCCAGCTGGTGTGAACAGTTCCAGTCTGGTGACGAGAGAGAGGCAACTATTTGGTTTGTGAAAGGCGTGCAGACTGCGAGAGGACAATGGCTGTTCTTTCACATGCGTGCTGCTCCTTGGCAGTGTGCTGAAGGGGTGCTGCGTGGGGGCGGGCAGGACCCAGCCGCGTACACACCTGTCCATCAGAGACTGGGCCACATCTGGAACGGCTGGGCGGGCTCAAATGCACCCACCAGAGGTGTCCTGAGAAAACGTGTCTGTTGCAAAATAATAATTAATAATAAAAATAAATCCGTGGGCACTGGGAGCAGAGGGAGCAGGACCGGTTAGCCGGGTTTGCCCTGGGATGCTCTTAAGGCCTCCTCCAGTTTCTGCCTAAACTTGTCGTATTTCTTCTGCACTTGTTGGATTTTGTCCTGCTCCTCTTTCTCCAGGATTGTTAGGAAGTTCTGGAGCTCGGGGATGGAGAAGGCATCCCACTGCGAGGCAAGAGAGAGATGGGGAGAGAAACAGAATAGGAGATGGGTTAGAAGTCGCCCAACCCGCGGGTGCCTCCATCTTCACACAGTTGCACAGTCTACTGCGGAATAGACAGGTGCAGTGAATGAAGCTTGGGTTTTCCATGTCATAAAAGCAATGAAATTTCAAATCCTGGTATTTCATGACCAAGAGGTACTGGTCCATGAGCCGTGTTTTTATTGGGAGAATCAATAATCTTAAATATTCTCTGTTGCAGCTGAGATCTTAACAGTGATGCTAGGACCACCCAGGGACCCTGCTGGCCTGCCCTATCTGTCTGCCTGGGTGGTCAGGGGCTCCCAACAGGCAGACCCTCAGGAGAGCTAGACTTGCACTCAGGAGCCTTGGTTTCAGCCTGACTCCACCATGTGACTTTGAACTCTTCACTCCTCCCTTCTCATCACCCATGGAATGAGGGTATCTACCTTCCTTGGCTGGCAGAGGAGATAATGAGATAATGTAAGCTGCAAAGCTCTGCAGAGCCTGGCTGGCCCAGGCCTGCTCAAATGGGAACCAGCCTCTCAGGCTGACCCAGGAGCTGAGGCCGCTGGGCGCCAGGGGTTTCGACTCCTAAGTTCTTTGAGCACAAAGGAGTAGTAAGGTTTATCTGGTGGCATCCCCACATAGCATACATGAGAAAACTGAAGTCCACAGAGGGAAGGTGCTATAGCCATGATCACAGCGCTGTGGCAGCAGAACTAGAACCAGAACCCAGCTCGCTAAACTCCTAGGCCTGTGAACTTTCTACTGGGCCAGCAGTGTTCATTTTCTGTGGAATAGCTTTTCCAAACAAAATCTTCCACGGACTCCAATATCTACAACAAATGGAAGCAGAGCTTCCTCGTAGAAGTGGGGAGCAGGGACAGACCTCCACCTTCCTAGATCCCCCAAATCTCCACATGACCCCCAAGACGGCTCCCCCAAACCCTAGACCTCCACTGATTGCAGTGTGACAAACACTGAGATGTCCCCCTGTTCTCGGTCACATGGCTCCACCTTCCAAGTATCCCAGCCCACGGGGAACACCTGCCTGGCTTCAGCCCAGTTTACACCACCAGACTGGATAGCTCCCCTTGCGGGGTGTGCAGTCAGTTTTTAAGAAACAAGGAGAGACAAATGGCTCAAAAATATCTATGCCCAGTGGAACCCAGAGATGGCGCTTGCTGGGCCTCAGGTCACCCTGGAGCAAAACAACCTCGGCTGAACCCAAGGAGTTTCACAGGCCCCTTCCACCCTGAGTTTTCAGAAATAAAGCACATGAAATCCTCTCTTTCCACAGGCGTGGCTGGACACAGGCCCTGACTTGCCACCCCATGATGCTCACAATCCTGGATTAAACACAGAACTGGGGCCCAAGACTCACCCAACTCAACTTTCTCAAGTTGTTTTCCTGCTGCCACATGACCCCACCGATGCTGGGCAGGGGGGATGATGGCCACCCAGCCCCACCCACTGTGCCATGAGGGCTGCGTTTCTGCCCCAGCAAAGGGGCCCAGGCCTACCTCCACCTCTCCAGTCTCATTCTCCTTGAGCACAAAGCTGAGGACATCGGTGTCGGGCCCGGCAAGTAAGCGCAGGTAGAGGGGGCAGTCAGTAACGGAGAGTTTCTGGAAGAGCACTGCAAACCAAGAGAGGGGGCTGGGGGCTCGTCTGGGGAAGGAGGGGCAGGGGTCCAGGATGGGTGGGACAGAACTGGACACACAGAGGGGGGCGGTTATAACCGGAAGTAGCTGTCCTTTCAACCTAAGGGAATGAACCTGACGAGAATAAAGAGTGAAATGACCTTTTATCTTTGGTGATTGCTTAGAGTTTGAAGCACGTTTCCATTCACGTCATCTCCCAAAAGATTAGGAGCAGTGGGGCGGATTCTCTCCCATTCCACAGATTAGGAAGGTGGGGGCCCAGGGTGTGGTTTTCCTGAAGTCACATACGGAGTGAGGGGCACAGTGAGCGACATGAGCTCCCCATCCGGCTCTTGGCACTGAATGCATGTGTGGCCTTCCACAGAACCGATGCCACACCGATGGCCTCACTGCGGTGCCCGGAGAGAGCCATTCCTCCCCCCAGGCCTGGAGGGTTAGTGGGGGGCACAGACAAAGTTAGGGAGGTGGTTTCTGGGTGGGAGCTCGCATTCGCATACCTTGCCCGTCCTTGTGTATCTGCTTAAAAAGTGCAAACTTCTGGGGATTGTCCACGACCATGAACTTCTTGAGTAGCCCCTGGATGACTTCACTGACTGTGGTGGTGCTGCTGATGTGTAGCTGCTTAATGGCATCGAGCGGCAGGTAGAAGGACGTCCGCTTGTCCGTGGTGGCCGCCAGATTCACTTCCTTCATGGCGTCGTAGATGGACTGGGGCCGGATCCCAGCAGGCACCGTCACAGGCCGCAGCAGTTTCAAATGCACTTTGATGAAACCTGTGTAGGTGCCATCTTCACTCTGCCAATGGGGGGATGTCATATGAGGGAGGGTCTGTCTTGCATGATCCTACCTGCCACTCAGGCCATTGTGCCTCTCCCCCCCCCCCGCAGAGGGTGGGCCTTATCTAACAGCAGTGCCACCCCACCTAGCTCCCCAAGCTCCTTCTTGCTTCTGCTGACCTGAGGGTGCTTGAGGAGTAGAGACACACTTCCCCCCAGTGGACCAGGAGAAGGCCCACGGTATCTAGCTACCAGAGAGGACACTTGGGGCTGCTGTGGCTGTCCTTCCCAAGAGACTCAGGCTACCTGCCCCAAATCTGCTACCAGGCAGGTGCTGATTGCCTTAGGTAAGTTCCCACTCCAAGAGGCAGGGTCTGGAGTGGCCTCCTTCCAAAAACCAGCAGCCCATCTGTGACTGGATTTTCTGGCTGAAGCCCCGAAGAGCCAGTTGCCGCCAGCCACCAGCAGAGGGCAGGGTTCGCCTACCTTCTCCTCTCTTCCCCACTGAAGATGGCCTTTCTGAACTTGGTTCAAAGTGGGTGCCCTCCCCTCTGAGCTCTGCACAATCTAAGGAAGCTTCCCCAGCCATCGGCTGTCCCTGTGCAGCCACCTAGATGGGGGGGGGGGCAGGAGCTGGGGATGCCTGTCCAGGGCTTCCCGGAGGCAAAACCAGACTCTTGGCCATCGTATATCATTTAATCCCCTCAAGAACTTTGACAAAAGGGCACTTCATCACTATTTTACATTGATTCTCAGAGAAGTTAAGAAAGTTTTCCAAAGTTACAACGGAAAAAAGAGCCAGAGATTAGATCTGGATGTTATTCTAAAACCAATTCTGTTTCCCAAAAGCACAGGAAGCCCTGACAGCCCAGGCCAGGGGCTGGCAAACTGCGGCTTGCGAGCCATATGCGGCTCTTTGGGTACACTCCGTCTCAAAAGTTTGCCGACCCTGGAAGAGCCAATCCTGTCCCTCACAGCAATTTAAAAATTATTCAAGAGCCATAAATATATTTTTACATAATCACCATTATGTGAATAATATCCCTTAAAAATGTTATAAATGAAACGATGAAAGTTTTATCTTCATTTCCAATTTTACTTCAGAGCCTGTGGCTCGCGAGCCGCAGTTTGCTGACCCCTGGCGGCTCTTCCGTCTCAAAAGTTTGCCGACCCCTGGCCCAAGCAAGGGGACCTTGACGGGGTAGCCCCAGAATCCAGAAGGACAGCAGAGGAGACAGACAGAAAGAGGGTGTGGAGCTGGGGGTGGG